GTCAATTGATGCTTGTCAAACTGGTAATGTCCCTTAAGGAATCCTACACATTGCGACAATTTGTCCCTTGACAGTGAGAGATAAAATTTAGTCCGCTTACGGTCTGGTGTCGCTATGCAAGTTCTACTCTGCCGACAGCTGCTCAACATCGTCCATATTTGCTTATGGCGTCTTTGGGTACATTATTTTACGATTTCGTTCGAGAGGGCAACCGAAGGCGTGATTGCCGGTTCGGGTCCCCAGAAGGGCATCCGCGCGAATTGGTTCGCTATCTTATCTGCCCTATCGTTTCCTCCGTTGCCACTGGTCCTTTGATCCAGCAAAGTTCTATACTTCTTCTCTGCGTTACATACCTTAGCATTTGTCTGCACTGTCAAACCAGCCCGAATCGAATCATACAGCTGTTCATGGTAGTAGTGCAGACTTGCTGTCAGTAAGAATGCGTTTTGATTTGTTGCCGATTTATGTTCAGCAACGATTCTAGCTCCCAGCATTATTTCCATCAGTTCTGTTTGCAAGACAGACCCCCAGAGCTTCCCACCACCTTACGACGAGCGTGTTTTTGCAACTTTATCATCTACATGCTTCTTCCAGTTCGGTCGTCAGTCCAATACAACTCCCAGGTATTTGAATTCGTCCGAAAGTTGAAGCATTGTGTTAAATATTTTTGGCATCTGTAGTGTGCCAATTTCCTTTTTCTTAGTGAACAGGATTAATTTCGTCTTCTTTCCATTTACGGAAAGGGTATGCCTGCGCACCATCCCTCGACTATTGTTATTGCACCTTGTATTATTTCACATAATGTGTTTGCGTTTTTTCTGCCAGCAAAATGACAGTATTCCACGGTGCAGCTCCTTAGGGACATCCCCTGTCTACAACAGCCTCAATTTCAGTGCCACCTACATTAATCAGAACTTCCCTATTCCTCAGCATATCGGTCACCCTCCTACTCAGGGTGGGGTTCACGTCGTGCTCTTGTAGGGCTAATCCTATGCTTTTCAACGTCGTTTTGTCGAACGCTCCTTCAATATACATAAACATTCCTAAGGTGGAGTGTTTGTTCTCCGTCGCCCACTCTATACGGTTTACAACTGAGTGTAAGGCCGTATCCGTGGACCTTCCTTGGATGTAGGCATGTCCTTGGAGATTCTATTGTGGCACCTGAAACAATAGTTCCATTCAAATTGCGCAACCCCTTGTGATAACCCAAACTTCCCGCCTTAAAAATTGACCTTGAAACAGTTTGAAAGGCCCGCGAAAAATTCAAAAATTCAAAGTTTGGCCTTGGCTGTGATCGTCTAACAAATGAGAACCTACGTTGTGTGTTTTTTTTTTTGTTTTTGAAAAATGGCGGGAAGACGTTCTTTCATACAAGTGCATACACGGTCGAGAGCGCAAGAAATAATAGACAAAATTAGGTTGGTCAAAAGCCTTCCTAAGGAGGAAAGAGAAACGAAGAACGACGACGGAGGCTCAATTTTGCCCTTCTGGCGAGTCCGCAGGGCCAAGGTGTCATCGGTCTTCATTCCCCAAAACCCCCTGGGGTTTTATTCACCGACATATTACATGTCAAACGCCTTAAGATATTTGAAAGAAAAACACTCGCGAATTGACAGACATACACATATGAAAACCGAACAAACACAAGACCTACACATATGTAAATTGGATGGCAGAACCCGAATCATTATGAGAGTGTGGCGATCGAACAACATATTGAACAAAATATATCAATTTCATTTACGAGCACAGAAAATACCCAGAGGGGGCGTTGTAGCGCAAGTAGAGGTTGGGACTTCTGATCGTCACTGTTCTCCCCCATGACGGTGATTCTATCTACACCAAAGCCTGCTCACACGCACATCTCCATTACGAACGTGCCCTGCGAAACGAGGCGGTTACGATCGCAGATCCGTAGTGGGGTCCCGGCTATCACGAAACCGGCAGCGTTAAAAACCCGCGACCGCCCCACTGAAGCTATACAAAACCCGCGGACTTGTGCAGGTGACGCGATTAATCCCGTCAGTTTGAGAAGGAGTCGCGCGCCCCACGTACACTACGAGTTATGTGTCATTAACCTTTAATTTCATTTAAATGTTCAATTTCTATGACTCTAATTTTAAATGACAACCGAACAAGTGTTAAAGTTTCAACAAAGAGCAATAAACCACATTTAAATTCGCCACACACTCTTACGAAAATTCAACAACAAATAATTCTTAATTGAGATCAAATTTGGACATCCGATAATTTACATGATAGAAACATTTATCAACACAACATTTACAAGATCAAAACTTAGCAAAGATTTATAAAACAAGATCTGCTGTGAAATAAGCTTGTACAAATTAAATATCATGTTAGGTCAAAACTGCAGAGCATGGAAATTTACGTTCAATTCAAATTATACAGCAAAGAAAATTACTGAAGCTAAAATTGTGAGACAAAGACAAATTGCATGAGGTGAAAGATTGTAAAGTTAACAGATTTACATGTGATTAATATTAATTCGTGTCCAGTCAAGTTATTGGTTAAAATTCAAACGTGAAATTATTTAGCTGCATTGTGGGCCATTATTACACATACATTTCCCCAACAAAACACATAAACAAACATGGCAGACAATCTGCAGTTGCAAAATGGCGTTGGACGAATTCGTCATTCCAAATAATAGGCGTCGAAAATATGCGATGCAAAAATGCGATGAATCCTGTGGCGTTATATAAACGATGGGCTAAATAAAAGGAATAAAGGCACGTCCCCCCATGACCCACAATGTTGTTATTTTGTTCAATAGATTCAGTTAAAACATGTGCTCGATTAAAAGAAACAAATGGACGCTTCAAAATGGCCGCTGCCTGAACAAAGAACGGTGAGAATAACAATTCGTTTGCCGCCATCCAAAATACAGATTTCACAAATATAGCTAAATAAAGCATGGCCCGAACTAGAAATCACTTCCTGTAAAGCCCTTCTACGACGGATTTTAAATGAAAGATAAAAAAACGAGATTAGTGGAAAAACAAGCGCACGCGTCGCTGCGTCACGAGGTCAGAAGCATCGTCGGGGCTTGAAACTCGCCGCGAAACAGGTGTTCAAAACATACCTCTCCAAAGGTGCGAAGATTTCGACACGGCTTACCGCCAAAAGGAACGCAAAAACCTCGTCGTAAGAACGATGAGAAATCAGGAACACCCAATGGCTCAACGGGGGCTGCTAGGTTTTCCAATGGAACAGATCAACACTGGAAAAACAAAAAAACAACAGCAAAAGGCACAGAATAATTCACAGTTAAAAATACAACCTGTTGCTCGAAGCGCTCGAAAGGAAGTCGACCGTTTGTTCCAAGCGGTCAAAGCGAAGTGACTCATTTTTCAAGACAATACCACCCTCGCTTTGTGCATCTCTGTTTCTTTGGGGTGGTTGGTTGCCAACCTCTTCTTCTTACCAACCGTTTCTTGTGCGCGCGAAATTCATTTGAAATTTAAAAATTCGAATTGGATCCTTACACCCTCGATTCTAGATTTTACCATCTATGCTTCCTGGATGATTGCTATAGTATTTTCGCCTCCACTGGTAGAGGCTTTATCCATTGGGGTTTCTGACTCTTCCATGGGAGTCTGCGCTGCCGGAATCGACACCTTGTTCTCCTTAAGTATCAGGTTTAAGGAGGACGGGATATAGTTGATCCTGCCCTTTCTCTCCCTGATTGTTTAGGCCTCAACCATACCAGGACCAAACACAAAGAGGTTACCTGGGGAGGCAGGCTTGGGTTTGGCCTCGTCATGGAAAAGAAGCCATTTTTTAACGCGAGCCCATTGGTTCCGACATTCCAGGCGGGAAAGTACGACCTCTGTATCCACCGGTGTCCGGGTATCCACAGGGTCGCCCTCACCAGCCTTGGTAGCTGAGCAAAGGGAATCACGTTAAGTTGTGCGCCTTCCCACAAGGGTGTTAGAGAGCGCACTGTTTGTTTTAGTCATTTAGATATCTCGTGTTTATAGGTTATCTTTATGATTTCCTCTGTGTACTTGATGCCCCTGAAAGTGGCTGCTTGTCCTGTCGATGCCAGGTACTGTTCAAGTTGTCTGTGCATTGCTCCCATCAGGCTATTTTGTACCATCTCCACCTGGTCAGATGTCAGCTTACCAAGCGGATGCTGTATATCAATCACAGCTACACGGAGATGACTTGCAGCTACCTCCCTGTAGCTATGTTTTTAGAGGTGGTCTCCTGCCTCCTCATCCTTGTTTGCTTTTGTGCTACCGGAGGTGTGGAGGTTGAAGATGGCATTCTCTTTGTAGCCTGCTCTTTGCCCTTGGGGTTTATCCCGGAGGAGTATGGGCCCGGTTTCGACTGGTCAACATTCATCGCCTCCGCTTGCAAACAAACCTTCCTCCGCTTTTTTTTACCTAAGTCCCGCAGATTCGCTTCCTCTTAGGAGATTACAACCCCACAGTGGCTGAGTTTTCAGCTTGAGGTGCATCCGAATGCACTTTCTCAGTGGATTTAGTTGTTTTTTTTTACCATATCTTGAATTTTGATATCGTCCTTCTTCGTGCCCACCCACCAGAAAGTCCAACAAGGGGACGTCGACGTCAGGGCTAGCAGAAGGATATAGCTCCAGGGAAGCTCATCCTACAGTACGCAGCCTCAACAAGTGAGATCACTCGTGCTCAAACTACACTTCTCCCAGGGACTCACCCTCTCGGCGGTCTGAGCCGACTCATCTGAGATGGGTTAGTCTCGACCTCCCATTTTGGTGGAAATCCAGGCCAAAGAAGCGTGTTGCCCAGCCTTGGCGACCACACTGCACCAAGGGGGGCTCAGCCCCCAGGATTTCTTCACCCTGCCTTATGGGTTTCCACGCACGGCACAAACGCTTGAGCTTGTCCGCGGGGCTGAAGCCCAGATCGGATCGGATTTCCACCACCCTCAGTGGTGTTTAGTTCGGGGGAGGGGGGGGGTGTTCGTCCTCTCCAAACCTCCATTCCCCGATAATGCCGGTACGCTCCCTTTGAGGACACTTCCTCTATCAGCAACTTGGTGACGCGCCTAGTAGGTAGCTGGTTATTTTGATATCAAATTAAATGGCGTCTTAATATGAAGTGCCATAACATGGATACTTACTTAACAATCATAATTTTTTTCAAGTTTCTTTTGTGACGTGCGTTACACCTACGTTGTTATTGGAGGGCTAGGTGATGTTGGTTTAGAATTAAGTGACTGGTTGGTTCTGAGAGGTGCAAGAAAACTAATATTATCTTCGAGATCGGGTATTCAAAATGGTTATCACCTACAACGAATAAAGTAAGATATGTATAATTTATTCAAGTAGTAAAGATATTAAGTAGCAATTTCATGATTTGGACAACCTATGGGGTCGAAGTTAAAATTTCTACAAAAGACGTGACCACTGAACGAGGATGCGAAGATTTAATTACAGAAGCGAATGAGCTTGGACCTGTTGATTTTTAACTTAGCTGTTGTTCTTAAAGATTCACTGTTTGAAAATCAAACTCACGAAAATTTCGAAGCTTCTTTCGCACCAAAAGCTCGCGTTACACTACATTTGGATCGAGTTAATAGGAAATTGTGTCCAAAACTAAGGTTTGGTTATACCGTGAAGGTATCGGTTGATTTTGATGATATATTTCAGGTATTTTGTTGTATTTTCATCAGTATCCTGTGGTCGTGGGAATCCGGGTCAAAGCAACTACGGTATGGCAAACTCTGTTATGGAAAGGATATGTGAGAATCGAAAACGAGAAGGATTGCCAGCTGTGGCCATCCAATGGGGCGCAATCGGTGAAGTACTTAATAATTATTAGAAATTTCTTAGATTTATAAAAATTTTCAAGGTTGGTTTGGTAGCAAAAATGCAAAAGGAGAATAAGGAATTAGTGATTGGTGGTACTCTTCAACAAAAGATTTCAAGCTGTCTTGAGGTGTTAGATGTTCTATTAAAACGTAAGTATCCAGTTGTTTCTAGTATGGTAGTTGCTGGAAAACACCAGAAAAGTGACAGATTTAATGCAGTAGAAGCGGTTGCCCAGGTGTTGGGAATCAAAGACATGAAAACCATAAGCCGGTATACGATATTCGCAGAACTCGGTATGGATTCGATGAGGGTTACAGAGATTGTTCAACTTTTAGAGAAAGATTTTGAAATTTACGTAACATCTAAAGGTGTGAGAAACTTAACATTTGCAAAGTAACTATTTTGTCAGTCAAAAAATGTTGTAATTTATTGGTGAATTTTAGACTGACTGAAATAGAGGCTGAGAAAATGGGTAAATCTGAAGAAGTTGTTAGCCAGAAATTAAGCAAAAACTTTCTCATTCAATTTATTCCCGAGAGAGAAATTATTCAGTTGCCAACTGTTAAATTGATTAGCCGAGTGGATTCACAAGGGGAAGCTCCAACTGTATTAGTGTTACCAGGAGTAGAAGGTGTCTTCAAACCACTAGAATTTTTGACAAATTCATTTGGAGTACAGTACAACTATAACAAATCCGAGAACAATATTGAAGAAATTGCACATAATACGCTACCGGTTCGCTAAGATGTATACATTTTAAAATTACTGTATTTAACATGTGTAATATTTTTAGCACATCGAAACTTATTTGTCCAAAAAAATCCCCTTCTACATTATTGGATATTCTTTTGTAACTCTAGTCGGTTTAGAAATGATCAGTTTACTAGAAGAGAAGGGGTACAATGGTATCGTGATTTTGATCGACGGTTCACCAGCATATGTAACTTCTTCTTTAAAAACACAATTCGCGCACGAAACAGAAGTCCAGTTCCAAACTGCGATTTTGACCAAAGTTTCTTCTTTTGTGATTTCGTTTGATGTATTTACGCAATATGAGGTAACTGGTAGTTGAACTATTCGCACTTATATGCTGGAGTACGATGTGTTTGTTTAAGGAAGCGTTGCTGAAGTCCAAAGATTTTGACGAACGAATGGATTTGTTTTTCAGTTTGATACCTCCTGAAACAAGGAACAAACAAAAGTTAGAAAAGCAGGCAGGGGTTGCGGTGTACAACCGTCTTAAGGCTGCACTTAACTATACGTTTAAAAATAAGAACATTAAATCGACTGTACATCTGTTCAAGGCAAAATATCCCATGGTTGACGAAGAAGATGATTATCAGTTATCAAATGTGTGTGATAACTAGAGAGCGGATTTTATGAAATTTGCATATCCGTTATTTTTTGCATATAAGTCTTGATATTTAATATGTGAACGAATCATGCTAATTAAAAACGAATACAGCTATACAAAAATTGCATATTTGCGTATATTTGCCTTCTGCTGCATATTTCACGTAACGGGTGCATATTTTGCATTTTTATCAATTTTTGTGCCAATTTGAAAAAAAAAGATTGTTATTCTATCGGCATGTATCTAGAAAGACGAAATTTCATTAATCATATTGCAAATATTGTTCTGATGTTCAAATAACTAGTAAAGGTTTGGGTTTTATGGTAGTTTGGAGAATCCATTGGGTGTTAAGCCATTCTTCCAGGTAAATTTGGGCCCTAATTACTTTTGGAAATACCATTCATTCCCAATATTTTTGTTCGTTACTTAAGTGTATTAATGGTATGTGTTATGGTGGTTGAAGGGACGTTACCCTATTACTTTTCATCGTGAGTGTGCATTTAAAGCATTTAAAGCGATACATGTGTGTTAATATATCGAAGATAACTCAAATTAATTTGTGGATTAAACCTTTTCCTGAACATATTCTTCAAGAAGGAACTGTTTTGTCGCGTCTGCTCTAAACCGGTAAGGATTTTTATATCTGTGGACGTAGTACACAGTTTTTCTATACCAAATATACTTTAGAATCATCGGAAAACTTTTGGTTAGAATATTTCGAAAAATATGTAAAAATAAATTGTTACCAAAATAGTAATTAAATAGTCGATTAATACTAATTTTGTAATTTGTAAATAAATTTAGTTCGGTTATTACGCTTTTTTTTAGTTTTTGGAGCATATGCAGCTGCATATCTCTGCATATATTAAGAAAGTTACTGCATATTTGCATAAATTTGGTGCATATCATATGATCATATTTTCCAAAATTTTGCTGCATATTTTCCGCTCTCTAGTGATAACATAGCACAAGTTACTACCATGGATGGCGACCACGTATCAATTTTAAATAACCCAGACCTTGTAAAAGCTGTTAGCAAAGTCGTACAGCTAAAATCATAACTTGAAATGAAATAGTGATCATCATTTCTTTATTTTATTGCTTGTTTTTATATTGAGCTAACCCTGGTCCGTGATACTGCCCCCAGTTGTCGTCATAAATTCAAACGTTGACGGCGAGTTGATAAGTGTTTAACAAATAATATTAACAATAATAAAATAAGGTAAAATACAAAACATCGTCAATAGACAAATAAAATGAACACAAAAACAATTAATGCCTACAGATACAATGAAAATGTATATAATATGTCAACAATAGAGATAGTGAATAAAATTATTAGAACATTAAAATAGAGTTATGAAAAATGTTCAATTTATCTTTAAAATGTGGCACTCCAATTTTTACCTAATCGAATAGTATGAATGCCTTTTTACGGGAAAATCTCAAAGTTCCACATTTTTTTGTATTAATTTCAAACGCGTTTATTCTGCGCCAGGTCTTTCTATGATAAAAGACAGCCAGTATCTTTGTTAAAAATGTGGAAAAGTTTTAAATCGTCTAATACAACAAGAATGTAGACATAAAATTTGACAACAATCAGCCTGGTAGTTTCGAAGATTACCTGTGTAAAAAAATTGAGACAAACGACAGACGGCAGATGACATATAGACAGAGAGACAAACAGAAGCGGGAGACACATGTTTTCATACTCCAGGGATCATGAAACGTAGAGAAAACATGAAAGTAGCCATTTGTCGGATGGATCTAATTACAATACTTCCTTAGCTTACGCTCGGATAGTGAAAATAAGACTACACAAGCTCACGTAATAGCGGATGTAAAGTAAAGGCCAGAAGTACAAGGTAATTTCAAAACATTAGGCGGAAACGACAGTAACAAGGACTGCATATGCATTTTGAACTTATTTCGTTGAATAGAAAATTTAAATCAAAGACGCAATTTTTTCGTTTATTAAAGGGCATTGAACCGTGAAGTGCTCAAATTATTTTGAAATAAAAAATCTAACTGGATGTTCTAACATAATTGAATTGCCTACAAAGTTCATCTTACTGACAGTACAAAGCTAAAAAAGCCGTAATACATACATACTTTTATTAAATAATTTACATTTATATTCATAATTTTATTCTCGTCCATTTTTACTTTATACTATTTTTTTGTATTTCGGGACTCGTGGACATAATGTACATTTTTCCACGACCACTATGTAATAGCGTGCACCTTTACGTTATGAAACAGAACTAGCACGTAATAATATTACGTGCATGTGTTGGGAAATTTTCGTTTGATGGAGATGTCAGCTGGAAATTGCCAACTGTCAAGTCGCTTATAACTGGCGCGTTGTGGTTGTATACAATCGGTGGACATATAAAACTGGTACAAACTGTCTTAAAAATTATGAGGAGAATGAAAAATTAATTTTGTGTAAATCTGTCTTGTTGACGTTGATGTTATGTGCCATGATAGATGGATAACGCATATTTGGCCAACAATGGTCTCGGGAATCAAGCTTGATACTCATTAGAAAAATTTCTTTGTACCAGTCTTATATGCCCACCAATTGTACATAATTTTCATTTTCTTAAAGCAGAATTGTCTGGAACTGAAAACTTTCAAGATATGCCTTCAACACCAACGGATATATTGGCACCTACAACTGCAGTATTAGAGAAATGTACTACTACTGTTCCAGAAAAAACTGGAACGCCAATAATTACAAAAAAATGTCAAAACTTTACGATTAACTTTCATACCATAACTAATTGTTAACATTTTCAATGTATAATTATATTTTGTAGTTAATACATAGCTAAAATCAAATATTAACTTGTTTCACATTGAAATATTTTTGGGGTGTGGTCGTGGAAAAAGTACAGTACACGACTCGTGTGCAAACGCTCATTACGCGCTCGTTGAATTACTGCACTCGCCCCTACGGGGCTCGTGCGCAATTTTTCAACTCGCGCGTAATAAGCTATTTACCACACTCGTTATGTAATATACTATTATAAGGCTTTATTATTTATGTCTATTATTGTTGGTAGAACTCAATACTTTGAATATATAGGTTTCAACTCTACCTTATATGAGTCATATATTGGAATAGCACGAGGATCCAATTTAGGGTCACTGATGTTCACTATCTTTCTAAATGATATTTTCGAATAATGCCAATAGCACAACTGAGACGTTAATTTTTAATTTTACTACACAGGTCGAGTACCTAAACACGCGTTCCTCGACATTTCATTAATTATTGAAAATGAAAAAAATTCAGCCCAAAGTTGTACATGCGGTTCTTTGTATAGCATACACTAACATTATCTCTCAGTATACAGTGTTTTGTTTTTGAGGTGTAAGACGCAACATTTTGTTTTAATGGAACACTATACAGAGTGTTTATAAAACTGTGTTCATTATTACAATTTTCAAATATCGATTTTCCAGTTTTTTCGAATAGAGCACTATATTTTATTACTGCGTCTTAAACTATTTTTGCTGTCTTTCTTTTTCGCTGACTTCATCTATATTTAAACTTGATACTTAGTGGCTGGAATGTTTTATTTTTTTAAGAGTCACATCCTGATATATCTTTACATATGTTGGTCTCTCATTACTCCAACTAGAGCAGAAATTTAAAAAATCACCCGATATAATACAGATTAAAGTTGCGAATGTTAAAATCAATGTAAAAAAAAATACTAAATACACTCAAAAGTCACGTAATCACGTAATCGCCGATATTACAAAGCAAAGGCCAGAAGTTAGTGCAAGGTTATCTAAACACATTGGACGGAAGCGATAGTAATATGAAATGACTGCATATACTTTTCAAACTTAGGTCATGCAGGAAATACTACTACTTCACAGGGTCTGAAGCGTTTCAACTTTTTTTTTAATAAAAAATCCAACTGAACGTTCAGAAGAATTATTTAGCTTCGAGTAAAAAATATACTACTTATAAAGCTGTATGTTGTTATTATAATTTTCCTGTAATTGGGCTTGTCCCGTTGGAGAATAAACCTTATTATTATTATTATTAAAAATTAAAAATTATCCCAATATTTGTCGACTTCTGTTTATTGTTACACGAATGGGGTTAAATTAAGTAATTTTTTGCTGTTTAATCACACCGAAGGCTAGACAACCCGTTGGGAAGCTGTAGACTGCAGTTTGGATCTTGTTGCATCTCATCAGCACAGCCCATCCCATCGAGTTGTCTAGCATTCATTGCGACTGAGACTAATTTAACTTTTGAGTCAAAAAAGGTTATCATAGGAAATGAGGGCTAAGTTAACTATTGATTTTTTGGTTTATACTTAGACAGGTACCGTCAAATTTAAATGTTAATTCTCTTCATGGACTGTTGTTTTGAATTGCTCGACCAACTAGAACTCATTAAAAATGTAAATTTTTTTTTGTCGTATTCCAATGTTAGAAAATTCGTGTCCATTTCCGCTGCACAAGCTATAAGTAACTGCACATTTCGCATTCAACATAATTGACAATTTTTTGTCACATATACATGGGTGTTTTTTATGTTTGTTTTCTTTTAAGTTGTTAATATTGTTGGGTAACCATGATGGACCTAAACGAAGTTCAAGAAAAAGAATTATTCAACGCTAATTTTCAATATGGACGTTGGCTGTCCTCTCCGCCAGCCGGGGAGGAAGTAGTCATATCTGGCATGTCCGGCCGCTTTCCAGAATCTGATAATGTGTATGAGTTTCGTGACAATCTGTTTAACAAAATGGAGATGGTTACCGAAAATGAGAAAAGATGGAAAATCGACCATCCCAATGTGCCGAAACGAAGTGCTCACATTAATAATATTAACAAATTGGATGCGGGATATTTTGGGCTACATTATCGTCAAGCTGATAATTTAGACCCTGCACTGAAAGTTTTGATGGAAACTGTCGTAGAAGCTATCATGGATGCTGGAGTAAATCCGCTAGAGCTGAAGGGAAGTAAAACTGGCGTATTTAT